TTCCAAAATCCAGGATTTCAATTCTGTTTGTCTTAGTCCTCTTGGGATCTTAAATGCCACAGTCTCACGGCCACTGCAGCCAAGACTGCCCTTCACCTTTGCATCGTCTGACAGGTCTTCCATGTCTTTGAGTAGCAGGTCCAACAGAGCATCAACCCTAGTCGGCAGGAAGAGGGCCAAAGGCGTTGTATCACCTAGAAAATGGCCTGTGTGTTTTATATGTCTATGAGGGACCACACTGTACGAATAAAAAAAGGAATGATGTTCAATATGGGGTGACGACAACTGGAAATACTCTTTTCTTCCTTTCCTTTTTCAATTAATTCTCTTTGTAAGGCAAAGAGAAGTGTGCTCATTGAGCACTTGTGTCCCTGCTTGCTGTGCCAGCCCCTATGCTGTTCTGTAACTCTCTCTTCCCTTGTATTCAGTGTCTTTCATTTGTGTGGCTGTGCTGTTTGCCCTTTCATTCTGACCGTGGTTTAGCACTGTGCCTGCAGCTTCCTGACCAAAACTTTCCATTTGAAATTTATTTTGCTGGCTTAAATCTTGCTCCAGCTCCATGTGATACAAGGTACAGCCTTTTGGACTTTCTTTTGCTCTCTGTGGCACTGCAGTTTTCTTTACAATTAGTTTTATGAGCCATTTGCCTGCAAACTCAGTCACTTTGAACTACCCTTTCTGTTGCAAGTGTACTGGCTCTTCCTCTTCTAGTTTTTACTGCTCTGCTTAGTCAGGGAGCCAGTGGAGTATAAGCAGAACTGGGTTTATAGTGATCTCTCCTGTAACACACTTCTCTGCAAGACTCCTTCTACTGCCGGTGGGTTTGTGGCACTCCAGTTTTAATGGATGTGCTCAGCTGAAACATGTTCAAAAACTCAGTTAAAAGCCATTTTACATCTTCAAGCCTAGCCAGATTTTTCTACACATAGTTAAAAACCATAGTGCCCTAAACAGAAAAGCTCTTCTGCAGCATTTTCTGTGTGACTTGGGTCAAGATTATAAAAGAAGATTTGTTTGTCATGTGTCACAGATCAGCATCTACTGATCCTGGAGAGACTCTTCACATTTCTCGGGCCAGAACCTGCTACAGCTGTTTAGTGTCTTGCTGCTTTCAGGATTGTTGTAGAGGGTTCTTGCGTGCAGGATGGTTTCTTATCCTGGCTAATGAAATAGAGGTGTCTGGACTTCATACCCAGGGAAAAGAGGTTATAAAAGTTTATAAGTTACATTACAAAGTTCCTTCCTTTAGCAGATGATTATAAATTCATGTTGTTTTATGAAACTTCATCCAAGTCAAAGACCTTTCACCTTCTTTGCAAAGTTATCTCAATTTTCTTAGCAATCTGTAGCCACAAATGCAAGAAATGTGAATAACCATGTCCTCATTTCCTGCTGCTGTAACTCTGTTTACATTCGGAGGACTTAGTATGGTAGGCAGCTGACCCTCTCCTTATATTTGTGGCAATGATTGCCAGTTTGGTTTCTCTGGGTTATTTACCATGTCTGATCCTTGGTTTCACAAAAGGTCTATGCAGCAGTTACATGGTTGATGGGGAATGTCTTGGCCATGTGGCTAGTTGAGTCCCTTGGGACCCATCAGACCTTGGAAATGATGTGCCTGATGAACTCCCCATGGAGGAGAAATGCAGAAGAGTTTCACCAAATGCGTTCTCCTGTCAAGAAAAATATTTGTGCTGATGAAAGGAATAAGAGCAGGGAAACTATTTAAAGAAATAACTAAGGTGAAATCAGTGGGATTTCAAACTGAATGGGTAAATGCTTTGGGAGGGAGGGAGGTGCTGATACAAACCCATTGAAACAGTCTCACTACAGGCTAAAAAGATATAGAAAAGAAAATATAAAAGATATAAATCATCTTGACTTTTCTGACTTTGGGAAAGCAGCCCTTATTGAGAATAACAGAAAATCCTGAGAGCTGTCAGGAAGTCACATTTACTCACTGACTGTTTCTGCCTCTGTGTCTCATGCAGGGCTGCTAGAAAATTTGCCACCTTCTTTGTGAATGTCAACGTCACGTCTGAGCCTCATGAAGTCTCCGCTCTCTGGTTCCTGTGGTATGTGAGGCAGTGTGGGGGCACAGCCAGGATTTTCTCTATCACCAATGGAGGCCAGGTACAAAATGTCTCATGTTCTTCCTCCTCTCTTGAAACCATAAAAAGCAAGTGGAGTGTTGTATCCGTCAGAGCCCTGCAGGTAATGAAAAGAGGATGAAACACCAAGTTCATGTGGCACCAGAGACAATTATGTTCTCATGGGGTGGAACAGCCCTCTCGGCTAACTCTGTACAATGAGAAATTTTATTAGCTAGGCTTTGGGATAAATTGGGACAATTTAATCAAATGGTTTTTTTCCTGCATTCACTTCAGCACAGTCCTTTTGTTGCTGTTTGCTGCTTTTGTGCCAATTTGTTTTCTATGGGTTACTTAGCACATTTGAATGTTTTCAGGAGTTCAAAGCAAGTGTACTTCAGAGTGAAATACCTTTTTTTGGTGTTGAAGCCTCTAATGACAAGAGTTGGAAGCAGACAGCAAAAGGCCTTTCCTTCTTGGGACAGCTCACATGGCAGCATGTTTTTTGAGCTACTTCAGACTGTTTCTTGCCTTGGTCATGGCAGGCCCCTGGCTGCCTGCAGAACATCGTGGTTTTCACATGATTGTTCTGGATGAAGTTTCAGAAAAGGGGAAGGGGACTGACAAGGTAATTTGGATGTGGTATGTCGGCACCCTTTACTAGCCTCCTACCTCAGAAAGCACGCGCAGCATTTCAGACTTAAGCTACCAACAGCAAAAGTGGAGACAGTACCACACCCTTCCAAGTGTGCTGAGATAGGGAGACATTAAGAGAAGTTGCCTGGAGAGGTGTGAAGTCTCCATCAACATCTGTCCATTGGGGTAAGAGTAGACAACCACGTGTCAGGAAGGATATAAGTAGAGCTAATGCTGCCCAGAGGTAGGAGCAAGACCCAAGAGCTTTCCTCCTCAGCAGCCCCTCAGCCACGTTTCCTGCCCCATGTCAGCAGCTGCTACACGTTGCAGCAAGAATTAAAAATAAAATTAATCCCAAGATACTCATAGCTAAACAAGACATGTGGAGAGGGGAAAGCTAGCCTTGGAAGAGCACGTCCTTTTCTTTGTGCCTGGATGGGGCAATCTGTCTTGGTTTCTACCATCCTTCCCTCTCCCCTCACCCCAATCAAAATCAGCTGAGCAAAAACGCTAAGGGTTTCTGACTTAGCGGCCATGACTAGTCTTGTAAAACTTCTTCAGGCAGCCATTTCAGTCTTTCAGCACAAGACTTTGTGGATCCTTTCCTCCCCGCCAGTACCAGCATGTTATATGTAAAAGTGAGCTGCTTGATGTAACGCTGGTGGCTGGTGGGTAAAAGAGAGTTAGTGCTTCCCCTGAGCCTCTGCACAGACATCGCAAGGAAATACGTGTCACAGATTTTGCTTTTTTCCAGACAGCAATGTCTTTGTGTCTTCCCAGGGACAGATAAAGCTCATTGCCTGCCGCACTTGAGGCCAGACCCAGTTAAACATCTGCCTTGCTTCTTGGCTGGTGCAGGCTTTTGCTGTACAGATGCCTTTGTCACACATGAGGGTTTTGGTAGCACAGTGATGGGTAAAATACTCATAACCTCTTTTTAATGAAGTGATATGTTTATACTAGCTAGAATAACTGCATTATATTTGTTTGTTCTCTAGGCTTCAAGAGTCTTTAAGCCAGCAAATTGAGGAAGCCATTGCAAAAGTGGTTTAGGCAGCAATCCCCATTGAGGCTCAGGTTTATGCCTCCACTCTTCTGAAAGTCTGGGCATCTTTATGCACCCTTAGGACTTGCAGATTTGGCCTGGAGTTTCTCGGTTATGAGCAGAAGTCATATTCAATGTCACTGTGATTAATGGTGGTGATTTTTTGTTTGTCTTTCTTTTCTGTTTGTTTTTTTTTAGGAGAGGAAGTTTAATGGGGGTTCTGGTCAGATATCGGAGAAGATAATGGAACGCCTCAAAGGCAGAGTTAAACTGGAGAGACCTGTGGTCCGTATTGATCAGACAGGTGATAATGTCACTGTGGAGACTCTAAACCATGAGATATATGAGGTAATTTGATCAGAATAAAAGTAGAGTATGCATTTAGTGGAGGAATACGTCTGCTGTAGCTCTTAGCCAGATGTAATCAGGAAGTACCCATTTGTGTGTGTCTATTTCTCGGACTATGCTGACACTCTGTGAAACCTGCTTTATGGATTTATTTATGACTAGGTCTCTTCTTGGTGTTCTGCTAGTTAGTTTCTGTCATTACTCTGTCTTTTCTACCTTAACTTCTTCTGTGAATATATATTTTTACGTTTTAGTTCTGCATTGAGACCATTGCAAAGAAAGGAGAAATGTCATTCCTGTTCGTATCCAAGTTTGTGGTGTGCAGAACAAAAAAACAGACATTTCAAACACCTTCAGTAAGATTTTGTCTCTGTGCAGTGGCGCTGTGAAACACTCCGTCCGTACATGATTACCTGCAGTGGCACCCATGAGGTGGCAGCTCCCTTCTGCACACAGAGCCCAGCCTGCCACAGGGACCTTGTGCAGGACCGTCATGGTCTGCAAGAGCCCCATCTCACCGGTGGCAGTGTTTGGAGGATACTGAGAGAAAGCCAAAAGAAAGGGAAGGGGCTGTTTGGCAGAGAAGCTGGTCTAAGGATGTCCTGGAGGAGGGACTATCTCCTTCCCCCAGGGATTTTTAAGCCCCGGAGTTAAACCACTGCCTTCTCCCTCCATGCTGGCTGAGGGGCAGCCAAGTCAGAGGAGATGGCTTTCCTGCACTCAGTGGCCCCACCAGCATGAGAGCGCCTGAGAGCAGCAGCGTCTGTTGTGCTATAGTGTCACCCTGAGCCCCGAAGCAGAGCATCCTTTATTGCTCCAGTCAGACACAGGATCTGTGAGAGGGATGGAGCATGTTCAGGAAAGCTGAAATCACCATCAGTGTTGCTTGTCCTGAAGTAGTATCCTGTGAACATGCACTAAAGTGATTATTCTTTTTTTTAACAGCTTATAATTTGGACAAATATGGCTCATATTTTCTTGGGGATGGTAAAAGGCAGTTTTACCTATGCCGTAAGATCTGTCTTGTCCCATTTCCCCACCTGTCTCCAGCCAAGTTTCAACTCTGGTCCTGTAGTGTCCAGAAAGCTGTCAAGAATCATCTAACCACAAAACAATATGTTTTTCCCAGCTCCTTTTCCTGAAATGGCAGAATTATTTTGGTCACCTTGAAATATCTGTGTGGGAAAGCCAAGTAGCAAAGTAAGTCAGGTGTGAGAAAGCTGTTAACAACTAACAAGAGCGTCTTTCAAATGTGTCCTGTGGGGTGACCTCAGTGAGAGGCAGCACCTTGTCTGTACTGACTGTGTTTTATGTTTCAGGGCAAGTATGTGATCAGTGCTATCCCTCCAATCCTGACAATGAAGATTCATTTCAAACCAGAACTGCCACCAAAGAGAAACCAGTTAATTCAACGTTTGCCTATGGGGTGTGTCATAAAATGCATGATGTACTACAGGGAAGCCTTCTGGGAGAGGAAGGGTATGTGGGGAAAGTGAAGGACTTGGGAGTGCCATGCTACATGAATTTTGAAGCTCTGCTGTCTATCAGGGAATAAATCCAAGAGGGGGTTAAATGTGCAAAACCCCCAAACCAAACACACAGAAAAGTGAAAGGTAAAGCTCCTTAGAAAGGAGAGCTCTTCCTCCAAGCTTGAGAGCATGCCTTGTCCCAAAGATGAGTCCACACCCAAATAGGATCCCAGATCTCATTGCTGCTAGCTGAGGAGGGACGACTGAGAAAACAAGCAAGGTTTCCCTGGGAAGCACTGCTGAAACCTGCAATGCACAGAAGCAGTGACCCCGCAGCAGCAAGTCCCTGTTTCTCCCTGCCCGGGACAGAGTTAGGGCAGCCAAAGAGAATTTATAGCAGGTGACAAGGAGAGCTTAAGGTGTAAGCAAGACCTTTCCCAGTTTTTAATCCTCTGCTCTACAGACTTGATATCTCAGAGGACTGGAAAAAGTAGGTTAGCTTTTTGTTTAACTCAAGATATTTTTTCCATGTGCTGCAATATCATGTGTTTCTCAGCTTTAACTGATAACATTTCCAGAACTATTTGTATGAACAGATTAGTTTCCAATTCCTATGTAACAATATTGAGAGTTGCACTGGGCAAGAATATTTCTTAATCAAAAGAATATAATTTTGCATGTTTCAGGGAATAAACCAGCCACTGGGATTAGAAAGAAATGTAGGCAGGTTTATACATTGTTATCATACGGGATTTTTTGCGTGTTCATCTGAAACATGTACTGATGTGATACTAGATTGAACGGCCCACATTTCTGCTGTATTACTGTTGCGGGACACCATTCCTGACAGTCTTATTGTCAACAAAATCAATACAGGGTGTAAATTTGAGCCCGCAGTGAGTGCCCAGATGTAATTACACTGGGTTTTGTTGCGGCTGTCGTTGTTTTGGCCAAAGTTACTCATGGAATGAACTATCATAGTTCTTGCTAGATCTGTTTACTTTTAATGTTTATTGCTCCCAATATAGAACACCAATGGGACTTGTAACAATCCATAGAAATTCCTTGCTAAGTAATAACAGAATTTAAATATGACTTTTATAAGTCTGTGTAGAAAATTTCCCAGAGTCAGAGGTAAGAGAGGAGAGGCACTGTTACAAAAACACTTCAGACATGTAGGTGTTATTGGTGACGAAGGAATTATTGTACAATTCCTTTTATGGATAATTTTCCTTGCTCATTACTATCAGAAACAATGATCTTCAACAAGTTTCTCTGACAATCATTTTGTTTTCTTTCCCCACCTCAGGTTATTCCGGTTCCTTTGTCATTGAGGATGAAGAGTCTCCAATTGGAATAACCATAGATGACACGAAACCTGATGGATCTTTCCCTGCCATTATGGGGTTAGAGGCTTCTAGCCCATACTTACAGATGTGTATTTCTTTTTGTATGAAGGAGTGGGAGGAGGAGGAAGAGGGGAAATGGCCAGGTTACATCAGTGTTGCCCAGTCCCACAGTCTTCACTTCTGACAAGCCCCTTGTGCCTCTCTAGTCCATATAAGCTTTTAGGTGAAGCTTCTGCTACAAAGGAGGTGGTTGGGAAGGAGTTGCTGAATTCAGCTGTAGTTCATTTTAAGCATTCAGTTAATGGGTTTTTTTGCTGTGGAGTAGATTTAGAAATAAATCCCTTTCTTACGTAGCTTTGTGAGCCTGTATTCGGCATATGTTGGGCCTTGCATTTAGCACCTGGGCCAAAATGAAAATGCAGTTGTCCAAGAAATCCTCATTTGCCTCCTCACCCCGTTGAGCTGAGGCAGGACAACGAACATCAGCTGGTGGTTGAGTGGGGCAGCAGCTGTGCAGTGAAGAAATTGGGATTCTGAAGAAATTGCCAAGTAAAAAAGTTGTAGTTTGGACAAACGGATGGGAAAATACGTAGCAGCATTGACTGACTTTTAAAATAGGTTAAGCCAATACGAACAAACAACCTTTACAAATGTTTCCACTGTAATCTGAGGTGAGACTGCCAAAAAAAGGCCAATATAAATGTCAGGCAACTACTCCTTAAGTATCTGGCAAGGAAAGCTTGCCACTTCTACTGAACTGTACATGTTTATGGGCATGTTCAAGGCTTAAAAACTTCCATGACCTGAGAGCCATAAGCCTCCTCCAAACCCCATATAGCAAACAGTTTCCTGCTTTCTCCTTGTGGATTTATGCAACTTTCTAAAAGAGTGCAGGAACATACTTCATCCTCCAGGTATCACCACTAAGGTCAGATGAACTAATCACCAAATCTGTTTCCTTCAGGCTGAATAAATATTAATCCCAGTTCTTACAGGACTGGTCCATAACACTGTGCAGTGCTTGTCAAAGCAGCAAGCTCCCATCACTTATTAACACCAAATGACACAGGCAGCGTATGGCCAGCTGTCTGCGAGACTTCAGAAGCTCAAGAAAACTCAGGGTCTCAGTCCTTTTGGATAAGACCTAGGTATAAGAGGGTAGGCAGCGCAAGCTAGTTTGCTGTACACTGTTCTCTCTCTGCCCACTTTGGGTATAACTTTGCTCTCCTGACTCAGTGGGGATGGAGAGTTCATTCCCACAGAGCAAAATGAGGCCAGCGCTGGCAGCTTTGAAAACACCCTTGCAATCCACAACTTTCTCATCTGGTAGCTGCCAGGCAGTCCTCTGTGCCTGCCCCCTGGGAATGCCTGCTCTCCTTTTCAATTAATTCCCCAGGGTACCCTGCACAGGCCTTTTCACTTGTGTGACCTGTAATTATTAAGTGACGAGGTATGATAAAAAAGTGTCAAGCCTGTTATGTACCAGTAAAGTTCTTTGCCCATCTTTTTTTAGAGTCATTTCAAGCAAGAGCTTGCAAATCAGCTGGGGTGCTGACACTGCGTGATATTTATATGCCATATTTTTCTTTTCAGTTTCATCCTTACCAGAAAGGCTGTTAAACTGGCCCATCTCAGTAAGGAGGAGAGGTAAGAGTTCAGAAACTGTAAATGTTTCAGAAATAAGTCAGTTCTCTGAGATGCTTCCCCACAGGAACATGTGTGTGGATATCTGTGTGCATATGCACATATACACATGCTCAGTGCAACTACCGATACTGGAAATGGGGGCAAAAATTCAGCTTTTAGCATAAACAGGCCAAGACACTAATGCTAATATTCATCCAGTTATGGATATTTCTGAGTTTCCAAGTCCTGCCTACTCTTCCATGTTATGACTTATCAGCTCTGTGTCTCTATGTGAACTGAGATTTTTCCAAAGACATTCCCAGACTGCATCCCCACTGAATGATGCTTGACCCCAGGGATATAGGGAGCGCTGATATGCGTAGTTTTGGCTGTACTTCACATTCAGACTGAGTGATAAAATTTTTAAACTTCCATGTTTACAACAGTATGGTTTCTCCATTAGTCTGTGAAATGAGCAAACAATACTTTCTAAATATGATTTTTGGTACACATGCAAGTGAAAGAGGAGTTCTGCTTAGGAATGTGAGTAGTATTCTCCAGCTCATATTTGGTTCTCAGCTATAGTAAATCTGTAGGGATTTCATTGATTTATATTGCTTCTCTTCTGGTCTTACACCAGTGACCATGAGAATGAATTGGCTCTGCATCCCAAAATAACTGTACAAAGATTTATTTTTTCAGAGCTCATTGCCAAAATCAACCTTCATTTCCCATTCCCTGGGTCCATTTTGGATGTCACTTTTAGGCATCAGCATTTGAAATATGTATGCTAAGAACTTGAAATCAGACTTAAAAACAAAGCCAAACCCAACTTTCTTTCCGATGTATTGCAATAAATGTGTTTTTTTTTATAAGAAGAGCAATAGCTGAGAGGCTTTTTCCACCCTTTTTTTCTGACTCTGATTTTATTTTCATATAGGAAGACGAAGATCTGTGAGGCATATGCCAAGGCAATGGGGATGGAAGAGGCTTTACATGTAAGAAATGAATGCCTGTTTTCACCTCTGTTGTACAGTAATGTTGCTCCTTTGTTCTGGAGGATGAAGCCAAAATTCCTGATTGCTGAAATGTGTACCTAAAATTGCATGTTGTGCCATACAATCTGTACTCCCAAGGGGAGGGCAGCAGCATCTAGTGCAGGAAGAAAAGAGCTGCCAGTCTCACTCTTCACAAGAAAAGAGAAGGCAGTGCATGGTTTAATTTGTCCTGTCATTTCCCCATGGGAGACTAGCGCTTCTATAAAAGTGCAAAGATTTGTTTTGTGTGGATGGATAGCATTAGCCAGATGACATGGCACTCCTTTGACAGGTATCCTTAGCCTGTTTTTTCCCTCTTCAAAGGAAATTTGTTTATTTTCAATTTCTCTGCCACTGTTTCACTCTCTAATGTTTGCTAATACTTACAGCCTGTGCATTATGAAGAAAAGAACTGGAGCATGGAGCAATATTCAGGGGGTTGTTACACAGCCTGCTTCCCACCAGGCATAATGTATTCTTATGGAAGGTAAACCAGAGAATGCTTTGCTTTCTAATTCACATTTCTTAGCTCATGTACAATGATATACCTTATGCAACAAACTTATGGCGTATGTAGCATATTGGGGGAACTCCAACCCTCTTTCCACTCCCCTACTCCCCAGCTAACAAGGATCTTGCTATTGACTTTAGTAAGAGTGGAGTTTCTCTTGTGACTTTCAAGGAAACAAAGCGCAGTCACAAAGGGACCTGCTAGAGCCAGGAAACCTTTCCCCACTATGTTACTTACCGTATTTGCTGCTACGCAATATTTGCAATAGATCCCTTTAATGCTTTGTAAGACCTTGAGGGCACACATCTTGGGCGGATGAAGAGTCTCCACTGACGGTGTAGGTGGAGCATCAGGTTCTGGTGAAGCCCATTGAGACACATCACAAGGGGAAGACAAAACCCTTACATGAAAACTCATTTGCTCCTCCCACCCAGCAAAGCCTCCCATGCCCTCCCCACACAGAATTGCTGTATCCCTAAAGGAACATGTTAGATAATACTGATTAATACTAGGTATATCACTGAAAAGTGTGTGGAAGGCACGGTTCAGCCTGTAATAGGAACAACCAGACAAATCTTGTATCCATAGCCAAAGACCAGACAAACCACGTCATAGCACATCGCAGCATGAGCTCCTTAGCATGTCTATCATGGAGTTACACCCTGCCTCTGTGACAAGATGTGTGCGGGAAGGAGCCATCCTGTGAACAGACTCTTCTGCTGTAATTTATCTGAACACTTGGGTAGTGATGGGTGAGGCCTCTGACCTGGGAAAGCTGGTGTCAGGCAGACAGGGAAAACCTAATCGGAGGTTAGATGGGAGCCCTTAGAGCAAGCACATCTCTCTATGGGAAAGGGGGGCTCACTGCCTATGGCTGGGTTGACTGAGATGCTTGTGCAGCTTTGCACAGCTGAGGGGCTGGCTCATATGACCCTGTGGGGTAGATGCAACTCCCTGAATGCAGAGGCCTTCAGCTGCCATCCCTTTTTGGCAGGACTTGCAGCCAGGCAAGTCCAACCTCCAAATAGAAGCTGGTGTTAGTGACCCGTCATTGCGAAAACATCGTTCACATCCCATTGTAATAGCAGGATAACAACAAAGCTGCCATGCAGAAGACGTAAATCTATCAGCTGCACTGCATTTCTGGAGGCTGTTAGGATTATCCCTTATCCCAGCACTAAAATAAGGCTTGTATTATTTTGCACCAAAGCTGGGCACACTGATTTGTGCCTTAGATTTTCTCTCTCTCAGATCATGAGTTTTGTGCACAGAAGCAGGTAGGTGGTCCTGTGGGGACAGCTTATTGCACCGTGCTCCCCAGCCCAGGTCTGCAGGAACTCTGGAGAACTGAAGTTCAGCACTCCATCAAGGGCCATAAATTGCTTTTAGAAGGATCATCGCCTGCCTGCTACTTGTCATCTGACATTCTCTATTTGTTTTGAAGGATCATTCGCCAGCCTGTCGACAGGATCTACTTTGCTGGCACAGAGACAGCTACCCAATGGAGTGGATACATGGATGGGGCCGTACAGGCAGGAGAGAGAGCAGCCAGAGAGGTACAGACCATTGGTTTGCTTTCAACATCTCTATTAAAAGGTTAAGAAGGATTAAGTACAGCTCGGAGGGTCTGATTCTGTACATCACACCCTGTAATTGTGCAGAGGCTCCTGGAATTGATGGGGAAGAATCCCAGAAAAGGATGAGAACCAAAGCCCTTTTTTTTTTTTTTTTAAACTTTACTTAGTTTGCTCTTGAATAAAGTGAAGCCAAGAATCTCACCCAAATCAGAACATTATGCAGTGTGTTGGTGCACTGGAGACTTAAAACAAAACTCATGCCGTATACCTCATGGCTAGAGGGAAAAACCCTCCAACCTGATGCTGCCCTTAGATATACTACCACAATTTCTAGCAAATTAATCACTGTATGTTTTAAAAGTAATTTAAGTCATTACAAATGCTAGCAGCTGTTTCCTGTGCAGCAATCTGGAAATCTGAGCATTGTTCTCATTTTTGATCCATCCCTTCTGCTTCTCCTATTACGAGAGAGTACCGTTAGGTTGGCTTTATGAATTCGTAATGGGCGACTCTGATAATGTCTAAATCTCCTCAGAATGACATGCATTGGGCTGGGTTCCCAGTCACAGTGAAACCCCTTTACAACAGTCTGAAGGGAGGAAAAAAAACCACCCAACATTAAAGGGTGTACATTACAGTTACAACTGCTGTATGGCAGAGCCATGGAGCTGTTATTTAAGGGAAAATGAGCCCTTTGCTTCCATTTGACAGAACGTCGTATTCGCCTTATAGTCCTCATTACTTGCTCTATTTCAAGTCACCTATTTTCTCTTTTCTTCATGCCTGTGAGCAGTAGTTATAAAGACGGTTAGCTGTCTCTTCTGGAGACATTCATTTGCCCCCGAGAACCTCCATGATTGGTACAATCAGTTTATTCTCAAGAAAAATCCTCGATGAGCCTTGTACTGCCTGAATAGCCAAGAGATAACTTTGTAACTGCATGCTTTGAAAGCCCCAGAGTTGTATCACTCCTCTTTCTAGTTCGTGATCCAAGCAGCATCGCGCCTAACAGGCTTTGCGTCCCAAGTGCGTGGCGGTAACCCCACCCTGCTGTTTCTCAAACTGTCACGTGAAAAAGCATTTTTACTTGTACTCAGAAAAAAATGTAAAATAAACATCTGGAGAAGCTGTAGTTTGTGTGGATTTCTGAGTGAGGTCCTACTTTTACTAATGACTGTGAAACTGACCTTTTATCCTTAAAACACTGGTTAGGCACATGACCGTTTGATGACAAGCTGTCATATATTTACACAAACTACCAAAACTGCCTCCTTCTTCTCTCTTTGCTGATATAAATAGAGAAATCACTATACATTTTCTGGTTCAAGGCACTTTCAGCTAGTCATAGTTATGCCTTTTATCAATGTCACCTTGCTCTGACTTGCTCTGCTTTTCCAAAACTGAAAGTAGCATGGGTTTTAATCTTTTCTCATGTGGTACAAATAATTTTTTCTTCTAGATATTGCACAGTATGGGGAGGATCTCAGAGCATGAAATTTGGATGCCAGAGCCAGAGTCGAAGGTAAGCTGGACTTTCTTTTTGTCACCCGGTCAGGTGCACACCTCTCGGTCAGGCTACAGTCCCTCTTTTGGCAATTCCTGTGGGGCCTACCCCCCGGCAAGGTTTTGTTTACCTCACATGCTGATGGTATTAATTTTTTTGACTCATCCAAGGAATATTGTTATCCCTGTCTGAGGGGTGGATGGCCAAGAGCCAGGGACAAAGAATCTCGGAGCCTGGGGGACTGCAAAATGCAGGAACTCAGCCTAGTTCTGCCCAGCCCCAGACCATGGTTTTAAGCCAAATATAACCTCCTTCCAGTCACAAGTAACTTCACCTTCGCTGTGCTGTGGCTGTCTGGGATGACAGAAAATAGGCGTTTCACAGCCCTGACCCTCCTTCCCACCCCCCATCTGGTCCTCGGGAAAACCTGTGATCTCCCCAGCCTAGCGGGGATGTTTGCCGCCTCCACACTCACAGGGTGAGGGAGACCCTGCGGTGGTACCGTCTCCTCTCTCCCTCAGGATGTCCCAGCCCAACCATTCACCACCAGCTGCTGGGAGAGGAACCTGCCATCCGTGCCGGGACTGCTGTGCCTGCTTAGCTCCGTCGTGTGTTTCACCTCTGTGGCTGCTGCGGGGCTGTTTGCCTATAAAAAGGGACTACTAATTCGAAACTAGTGGGGACCACACGTCCAGTGGAAGCTGCGTACACCCTCTTCTTCCCTTTTACCAGATGGGTGTTACTTTTGGAGGGAAGTGGCACGGACAGCTGAAAAGGGCAAAAGTTGTTCTCCTTGTGATTTTTCTTTTTAGTACCATAATTAATATATCAAATCTACTGCAGTTGCTAGCAGCAAAACAGAAATAAATCAGCTGGGGGGGCGTTTTTCAAATTTGCCTTTTCCTTGTCCATTTGTTTTGATTGGGCATGATAATATCGATGGTATATTCCTAAGACAGGGAAGGCAAAATGCAGATCACACCTTTCCCGCAAGGCAAAGAGGCCTTGGAGAATGCATTCGTTTCCACTCGCTGCTTTATTTTTTACCACACGAGATAATAAATACCCTTATGTATTCACTTCAGTTAGCGGCTCAGAATATCTGAGGTTGTTCCTATAACATCCCCGCTGCACGGAAGAGATTATTAGCATGCCAATCAGACGTAGAATTGCCAAATTAATTTTCAAATGCATTTGATTAATTATTAATCATCACAACGTGAAACTTAACCACGAGCTGGTTGAAAAGAGGTAATTAGCACGGAGCAGCTCGCTAAATGGTGAGAGAGGAAGCGCGAGTGGACCTTATTCTGCCCGGTACCGAGCAAACATCGGCACTTATCTGTTCTGCAGGGCGCCCGCGTCGGTGCGGCACGGCCATGGTGCAGCTCTCAGTTGCTTCCTGGCTCGAGAGCATCTGATCCAGCCTGGCCGTTCGCTGTAGAAGCGGAGTGAAATGAGTTAGCAAAGTTAAAGCCCCTCCAACTTGCAGCAGATGCTAGCTGTTATTTTCCAAATGGCAGCAGCTTTCTGGCTCCCTGTCAATTTGCTGCCCCTCGTTTTGCTCGTAATCTGTACCGCCTTCCTCCAATAAGGAGAAATATATTTGGGGCTTGAATTACTGCCTTGTAAATTACAGTAATTGGATGCATCTGCCTGTTCCGCTCTTATTATGTACATGACACACTTAAAATAATCACTTTAGTGTTTAACTGAAGTCTGGAATATATGTTTCACAACATACCATCATTATGCCGTCTTTTTTGCCATGAAATGTGAGCATTGTATGTGTCCGTGAACTCAGCTGTCATTCAACATGGGTGAAATGTGCCTTTCAATAGTCCTGAAACCTTGGTAAGAGGAGCTCTTCTATAAACTTTTCTGCAGATTCTTTCTCGTGTCGTTTTTTTATGACTTTGTAGAAGGTGGTGTTTCTCTGCACCTGTGTTAAATCACTAGGCACATCACGTGCAGCAGCCACCAAACCCTTACTCTGCTCAATATCATCCATATGCGTACGCCAACAGAAATACCTACCTACCCAAGATGACTTCGCTCCTGGCCTTTGCTTCAACCACGTTCATATGCCCTCTCACTTTTTTGTACAAAAGCCTTGTAGACACCGTAAGTGCAGACCAATCTCAACCTAGGGGCTGGTGGGCTCCAAACCAGAAGCCCTTTCCAGAGGGAAGGGATGCTTCAGGCGTCCCCTTGTCATCAGATGTGAGCAAGTGCTCACCGTGCCAGTGTTAAGCACCGCACAGAAAAGGCTGACAGACCGTACGTGTCTCCTGAGGTACTTTGTTCATTGTTTGCAGCCATTCTGTGAGAGGATCAGCCAGCCACTACCAATTTCTTGGGGGGGGGGGGGGGGCTATGTCCTTAAATCAGTGAACCTGAATTTATAGAAGTGAACCACCTGTCAGTTCCCTTGTAGGGATTTTTTTAAAAAGCAGCAATGTTCCTTTATATCACTAGCCTTGTCAGGGCAGTGCAAACAATGGGTCTTTTCCCATCATATTACTTGACTGGAAACAGCAAATAAGAACATATGAAAAGATTTTTTCTAAGCAAGCTCTCCTGCAGGAGGGCACGGAGGAGCCCTTGTCTCAAACTTGCTGGGCTGTCTGGAAAGGTTCAGTCTGGGATCTGATGGCAGTATTTCAATATTGATTGTTTTCATGCATTTGGCAAGTGCCCCTTGAGGGGGGGGCCCCCCCCCCCCCCCCCCCAATTTTTTGGGGGGGGGGGAAAGCCACAGATTATTTATAAGACGACTACCTACATTTTCAGCTTCAGCTTTCCCACCTACCTTGAACTGACACATACACTTCAAATTATCCACACTGGAAAAGAGAGAATAGTCTCAGTAGGAAGCAGCAATGTTGGATTTTGAACACACTAACCTGTAGTACAAAATGCTCATTTAATGGATTTTTGACAGGTCGTTTGACAGGTGAGTTTACTATCCACCTTAGGAACATTATACGGATCGGGGGAAAGCGACTAACATGAATTGCTGTTTGATTCGAGGGCTCCATGCAGATTTTCTCCCCAGCTCCAGCCATTGCCAAGCAGGGATTCCCTGTGCGCTGGGACTACCCGGTGCATGCAGCCTGGCACAGCCACAGTGCCTGCCCGAGGGCTCGGGGAGGCAGTACAGGCTCGATCCTGACAAGCCTTTTGTGGCGTGAAACAGTTCTGCACCGTTACACACTTCCCCCGGGGGTCTATTTCCACTGCCTGAAAAACACTGTTCATATCTGTTCAAAAATATTCATCCATACGTGTATTTGTGGCAGTCAGACCCATTCATTTTTGTGCTGACTTTAAACTGGACATCTGAATTTCACAGCTTTTGTGTACACACGCAAAAGGGACCCCAAATCACCCGGAATACACCCAAGGGCTGAGGCTGTCCAGCTTTGCTTTTTACTTTATCCACACACATTCCTATTGCAATTTGTTTGGCTTTTGAAATGCGAGTTCAGTTCAGCTGAACTAGTCTGAAACCGTTGAACAGGGCCAGGTACAGTGTTCCCCACTTTGCAGGGAAAAAGCACGTCTCACTGCTGTTGGAGTGGTAAGCAGCAAATGAAATGAAAGAGGTTGATTAAAATTGGCATTTCTGAAACTCGTGCAGCTCCCAGGCACCACAGTGCTGCAGAGAAAGGGCAGCGTTTGTCAGAGATCAGAGACCAGTTTCCATCCTGCTTTAATGCCCTTTCTGACAATCGGAACAATTTCCCTGTTTAAACATTAAACATTTAGCTTAAATATTAAACAGCCAGGCATCTTTCTTAAACCAATTTTGAAACAGAATGGGACTGAGTTTATCACCGCTGACAACTCTCCAAGCGAGCCGCTGCCTTTATTAAAACAGTGAGGCTGAAGCCACCGTGGGAACTCCCCTTTCTGCTGGGGACCGAGCAGAGCCCTCACCCAGGCCATGGAGTGGGAAAGCCTTTGGTGACCTTCCCTCACCAGGGGTGCTCAGTGCCCCAGTTTTTGGAGGAAGAGCCCTGCACTCCCTTGGCAGAGGTGGGAGATGCTCTGTCCTCTCAAAGTAAGGGATGAGACGGGAGAGGCCAAAGTCCACACCAAGTCCATCAGCACCAGGGTGGGAACTAAATTGCATTGACAAGGCTGCTGTTTGATGCTTGGAAATAAAGCAAAGACCAGAGCAAGCACTGGCAGAAGGAGCAGCAACACGGAAAGAGAGAAAAAAAATAGACTAATCATACTAGCAGTGAAATAAGAAGCACCACGGAGCAGATAGATCAGGCGGTCTGAAATAAGCAAGCGGAGATGATGCATGTGAGAGAACATGCCTCTTTTTTAATTAAATTGCTGGTTTTGCTTACAGATACCACAGTAGCTGTGCCCAAGCCCCTCCCAGCATGTCACATAATTAGCCTTTCAATACCTTTGAGAGCCACAGAAATTGGCACCGGGGCTAGAAAAACACTCCTGTGAGACTCGGGCTTCCCACCTCCTTTCTGCCCCGCTCCCCTCGGCTGCAGCTCCCACTTGTGCAGGGCGGGCGGCACGGCTGCCCCCTCCCTGGCTGCCATCAAACAGCCCCATGGGGACGCGGACCTCGAAACAGGACCGGCTGCTGGGCCCTCAGGAGCTGGACGGGCAGGAGGTGCAGGAGGAGAGCCGCCGGCTGGCTTTTTTGCACCACCAGCCCAGCAAGGTTTTCCTTCCCTCATCACCTGCCCATCACGCAACCTCCAAAATGCCCAGCGTGGGAACTGACAACCCAAACCCCTCTGGTTGGAAACCCACCATGTGAGAGGTCTGGGAAGGGGCCACCATCACGAGGATGAAGCGCTGGGTTGCAGGGGCTGCATGCTTTGGTGCAGTGGACGTGAACCTCCCCCGGGTCAGGCAGCGTCCCTCCAGCTGTGCTCCTCGCGTGGGGCAAGGGGAAGGTCTGACCACACTCACCCGGGGTGCTAAAGGTACATCCAGCCTCAAAAGCCACTCTGGGCAAGGAAGCGGTTGCAGCCTGCAGCCTGCACCTGCTGTCTTCGATAGTCATTCACCAGCAATGCCTTCCAGTCCACGTTTGATCCAGCCTCTGGTTTCATGTTGTTTGATCTCTCTTCCCAGGATGAAACATAGCCCCAACCACAGGCACAAATTGGCATTATATATCAGAATAAAAATACCACCTAGGGGGATATGCCAACGTTGCGCAGTCTGACAGGTTGTAACGCGCAGGTTTCCCACTGGTCGGTTCCCACATCCTATTGATGAGTTTCTGCTGCCTGACAGCAAGGGCTTTCCCTGGCCAGAAACCATGCTGCGAACAAGCTGGAGGCTGGTCTTATGTTCTCTGCACAGAGTTCAGCTCCCAGGTCCTGACAGCAGCATCATGAAATAGAAAAATGGACAAATCCAGAGATCCTCTTCTGTGGAAACATGATTTTAGTCATTTCTCTTCTTTTCCTTTTGGGCTGTTCCTCTTCCACGGAGCAGTTGGAAACAAACAATTTTGCTTTGTAAATGTTCCCTGCAAGAGCTGCTTTCCACACACACACAGAGAAAGCACATTTCATCTTGGTGAAAATCCAGAAGGGAAAATTAAATGTGCTCTTTGCTAGTGAACTGTAATTTTTTCTTTTCCCACTCAGCTCCTGCACTTGGCAATCAATGCTTTGGGCTCCAG